CCACTGCCTTGCTGCCCGTTCCGCTTGCCTCGCAGGTCGTTCTTGGCATGCTGTTGTCTTCGCGGTGTGGTGCCGCCGGGTTGTGGTGTTGCCTTGCGCTTCGCTGCTTCGCTGCCTTGCCGCCCGCCCGCTGGTCGTGCCTTCTGGGTCCTTCGCTTGAGCGCCCTGTAGTTTGGTTGCCGTGTTGGGGTTGCCTTGTGCCCCTCAGCATGGTCGCTCTGCTGCTGGTCCGCTTGCCCTCTCGTCCCTTGCAGTGTGGTTGTCTTGGTAGTGTTGCCTGGTGCTTCACTGCTTGGATGCCCTGTTGCGAGTTCGGCGTGTCGTGTCATTCCTTGCAGTCGTTTTTGGCGTTGTGCAGCCGTGTTGCCTCTACTGCGCTGCCTGGTGCTCCGCAGGGTTGCTGCCCGCTGCTATGTTCCGCTTGGGGACAGTCTGCCTTCAACAAGGGTCAAAGGGTTCATGATCCAAACTATCAAATACGGGGATTCCGCAGATTGTCGAGGGTTCAGCCTCCTGATGAGTCGGTGCAACTCCGACGAAACAATCTTTCATCATCTATTTATAATTATTTATTATTTATTATTATTATTTTTTTCAGTCTTTGTCTTGTTTATACTTGTATTTGTTTTCGGGGGTTGTTTTTGCATTGTTGTTGTTGTTTCCCTCGCTGCCTTGCGCTGTTTGCTTGCCCATCCGTCTACCCCATGCTTTTCACCTAGTGTGCTTTGTTGCTRTGTGTCGTTTGCCTGCCCACCCGCCACCCCCATGCCCTCCAGCCTATATGCTTTGCTGCCTTGTGTTGTTTKCTGTGCGKCATGTTGTCTGTCCGCCCMCCCGCCTCCCCCTTGCCCTCCAGCCTTCGCCCTTTGTTGATGCTGCATGCCTTTTTTCCTCGCTGTCTTTTTTCTGTCTTCCCCTAGGTGCTGCGTATTGTTTGTTTCAGCTGTAAGGCTTAGTGCCCTCGAGCTCTAGTCGTTGTGTCCTTTTAGGGAAGTCAGTGAGGTCGTGCATACCCAGTCGAATGGAATATTCGCTTGGATCATGGTGTGATTCGTTCGATGCTGAGATGTCCGTGTTATTGGCATTTACGTTGTGTCTTATATAAGCGCGGCTCGCTGCATCGCAAGGTGCAGTAGACTCATCTCACCTAACACACACAGACACACAATCAATCAATCAATCAATCAATCAATCAATCAATCAACCAATCAATCAATCAATCAATCAACCAATCAATCAATCAATCAAATCGATTGATTGATTGATTGATTGGGATTGGTTCGTTGATTGATTGATTGATTGATTGTGTGTGTGTGTGTGTGTGTGTGGGCCAGTGTTTCGCCACCGGCCCAATAAACCAAAAATATGAAAAACGGAATTTCATCTCCGCTTGTTTTTTTTTTTCGTTTTTTTTTTTTCATTTTTTTTTTCGTTTTTTTTCCCCCCCTTTCTATTAAATGTCAAAAAAATAAAAAATCATAGGCGTGTAGAACTTTTTTTTATCTACACGCCCATTTTTTTTTATTTTTTATTTTTGGCTTATTTTTTTGCCCCGAAAAAATTATCGGGGTTTCTTGCCCGCAATCGGCCACGGGCGGGAAGACCGCCGCGGTCTGGATCCCGACCGCGGGCGGTAAAATGGCCCAAGGTCGGGACCGTGGGTGATACATAGCATATGGGTTGTTGAAACCTACTATAAACTTGCAAGATAGAGTAGAATCCCGGTGGATGAAGCAACTAAATGTCAGCAAGGAGTCTCTACATACCAGTAAGTGGTTTTGAAATATCAAAATCAAACCTGACAGACATATAGTTCCCAGTGTCCTATTTCTTGTACGGTTCTGACCTTTGTTTCTCACACGTACAGTAGACATATTGCCACAATCAGGAATGTAGTGGGCATACTGGCCACAGCTGACGCATCATTGTTTCATTGCCCAACTCCCCATCCATTTCCGCTGTTTCCACCACTGTCCCACAGGCTATCGCCATTCCGGCGACCTCCCTTAGGACCTCCGTTCTAGTTCACTGCTGGACCACCGTTACCACCATTGCGATTGTCACCGTTACCGCCACTGTTCATGTTGCTGCTGCCCTGTCTTCTTGATACTGCCTCAGGTTTTCTAGCTACCGTGCTAGGTAGCCCGTATCTAGTTCGCGCAACAACCAGTTCCAAGCAAGCACTTCTTGGACGGTTGTTAATGCCTTTACTTGAGTGAGAAGATGGTAAACAAATGCAAGAACATTGCTATGTCGTTGCTGGATATGGCGCACCAGCGCGTCCAGCACCACTCTAGAGCAAAAGGGAAAAGACATGGTCATGAAGCCGTGCAAGGTCACAACAACAAACAAGGAGGCCTTCACATGCAATACGTCAAAACATTATGACTATGTGCCATGACATGAAACATGCACATATCATGGGGCACACATATAGTCCGTTCATGAAATGGTACGTGGACGGTTGATGTGGTCAAGATTGATGTATTCCCAGCTTCGCCACGTGTTGATCACATCATCTTGGGCATATTAAAGCGGTTCCATCTATTGCTAGTAACCATGCTCTGCAGACACTGCAAACACAACTCCCAGCACACTGACACTTTCACCGAACACTCGCACGTGAACACCGCAGATTGAATCAGCATGCACTTCGTTTTCCTCTTCCCCTTGGTGACAATGCCCGCCCTCTTCTTCCAGATTTACCCTACTTGGGCGCTTCACCCTGGCCCTTCATTTTCCTCATCCCCCAACTGTCCATCTCGAAGTCGCACAAACACTACAGCAGAGATTCTGCAGCACGTGAATTGACAAGTCACCTGCTGCTTGCACTGTGGCAATTATAAATAGCATCTGAACTTGCTGCTGGAGTGAATCAATGTCGGGTCCAGACTGGTACCGGTCGACGCGGCCTGTCGGCTGCAGTTTGCTAGTTCCGGAAGCCACAGGACTTTCCCAAGGATGCTGCTGAAAAGTGGACTCTTGGGACTGCACACTGTTCTTGTCGGGTACTGGGCCTACAACTCCTAACTACTGGACCCTACGACGCTCTGAAACCTAGGACCTACCGGACTCTTAGGGCCTAACCTGGGACCTACCGGACTCCTAGGGCCTAACCTGGGACCTACCGGGACCAGCTGGGACTGGGCCAAGGTGGGACTCTGGGGCAGGGACTCGGGACTCGGGACGTACAGAGCATGAAATTCTTTCACTCCCGCTGGCCTAATTTCGAGGTCCTCCGAGAAAAGCCTTAGTTTTACCAGTCCACGTTCTCTCCCCTTCAAGCCTGCTCATACTGCAAAACGATGTGAGGGGCAGTCTCCACTACTTCATGCCTCGTGTACCAGCGTTCGTCTTCTGGTTCCTGCCACTTCCTGGTACTGGAGCCACACATGGTACTCCCTAGCACCGGTATCTAAGTACCAAAGGATGTCTCCCGCTTTTCAAACATCTCTCTCATTGCCATGCATTGTACCCCTACCCCTGCTTTTATTGTTTTATGTAACTCGGAGTATTATGCTTGTCGGGGATAAGCAACCAGACTGGTTCCTGCCCAAGAATACAAAGTGGGGTTGGGTTGCTTTTTTTTTCCCCCCAAGTGAGGGTCTTTATAAGTGAAATGACTCCCATGGAGTCTCACCAGCATTGACTCAAGATAACATTCATCAAGTGAAACGTGTGCACAAAGACATAAGAACCAAGAAAAAAGAAAAGAAGAAAAAAAAGTCACCAAGTGGGTGGTGCTCTTCCAGGACACCCTTGAGAGAACCGTGAATAGTTTGGAAAGGTAACCGACTGAGGGTAAACGTTAGCAGGATGGTCACAAAATGAGCAGGACGTAGGAGGATTGGCAGTTGATGTACACCAGCATATACGTGACGAACACTGAAGAGTCAGGCCATGACGAGGTACTGTACAATGGTAAACGCATGGGAGAGTCGATGTATAAATTTTATTGTTCTGAAGTAGGGGGTAAACAACTGACATAAAAACATGTGACATGTAAAAGCCCTGACGGATATGCAACATTTATGTAAAGATGCAGCTGCAGAGTTGATGAGGTAGGATAGGAGCTGAGGGATAGATGGAGGTGGCCAAGGTTTTCATGTGTAGGGGCTGGGAGAGGGGGCGGGAGGGGGGGCTTAGGGAATTGTGGGGTAGTGGCCGATGTCTGGGTACCAACGGGAGTCTCCCGGTTGTTCGCTCCCCACGGCCTTTCTCCCTCCCAGGGGTGCTGTTTGTAAGATGTTCTTTGCTTGCCGTTGATAAACAACCGGAATGGTGCCCCCCAGAATAGAAGGGGCTGTGTGTTTGGTGTGTTAAAAAAAATGAGGAAATGGAGGGCCAGGAGGTGTTCCAAGAGGCCAAAAAAAGTAAGGATCAGCAGATGGGCGTCTCCCTGTGAAGTGATGGGGATGTTTGCTGTAGTCAGAACGACTGATTAGCAAATTGAGACAAAATGCTGTGAGAACTCTGTTAACCCTACTGCAAATTGCTTCAGTTTAATTCAGTTTAAATTCAGTTTAAATTCACTCTAAGCTTAACACAATAGGCGCCTTGAGGATAGCCGGTGGACGGCAGGGGTCAGGAGATGGAGGTGGACCCCACTGGTGCCCCCCAGTGCTCCCCTCCATTCCTGACCCTGCTGCAGTTTTTGCTTGGAAGAGTAGAAGTGCATATGGGACGCTGGACCCGGTTTCCAGCAAAATGGCGTCACTTTCAATGATGTACTGTTTTGAAAGATGTATCTAAGGGACGCTGGACCCGGTTTCCAGCAGGTGATGCTCCCCACCAATAGATGGAGCGGCCCAGGCAGAAAAAAAAAAAAAAAAAAAAAAAAAAAAAAAAAAAGGAGGTGTTCCAAGAAGGGAGATAGGTGGTAAAAGATAAAATGTAGGAGACAGAGGAGATGTTGTTCACCAGGCTGGTTAAGAGGAGATGACAGCGGCCTTCTAGGTGGAGAGAAGTGAAGACAGAAGGTGAGAGATTTAATCTCATACCTCTGGGGCGAGCCATCGAAGGGAGTAAGTGTCTATTTCCTCTTGCTTCAGTCCATCACCTGCATCTCTCACAGTACCTAGATCACCTATCTGAAAAAGGCACAATTATCACATAATTTAAAAAGCAAGATAAAAAGCCCAAGGAAATAAGCAACCGAACCCAGCCCATGTTGCTGAATGGTTCACCACGGTAACTTTGATAAACGCATTTGAGTTTGAATCCTGATGGAATCAGAAGACCACAATGAGTCTGACTCAGTTCAATGAAGATACCTCAAGCCGCCGCCCTTTGCAACAAAAAGAAAAAGAAGCCCTTCACAGCCTGTAGGGAAAAAGGAGAGCTTCAAGACACACAGAAAAGGACAGCCCCAGGAACTGATGAAAGTGATGTTCTGTATTCCAATGATGTATTCAAGAAAGAGCAACAACAAGAAGGATCGTCACTGATTCTGTTGTTCTGTTCCCTTATTCTGACTCAGCCTGGAGAAGGGAAGGACCTAAAGAGCGGAAGGGTTTAGGCCCTTTACGGAGGGTTCAGGGAGCGTTTGGGGGACAGTGCCCCACAAAGAGAGACAAGAGGGCAAGGTCTACAAGGTCAAACAAGAGTTATGGAAAAACTGGGCTGCACAGCAGAATGATAAAGGGGAGCTGCAAACATCTGGAATTGGATGGGACTGACAGATCATAAGGAGGTACAGGACAGAATGGACAGCCCGCAATTCCAGGAATGGGGGTGAGGCCACGAGAAGAAGGGCTCTAAATAGGGGAGGGCAGTACTTGTGACTCCATGGGGAATCGGAGCTCCGCAGCGGGATATGTCAAGGCCAACCCCCAGGGAAAACTCTACTTTGCACGTTGCATGTAAGGGACACTGGACCCGGTTTCCAGCAGGTGCCGCTCCCCACCAATAGATGGAGCAGCCCATCAGCCAAACCCTCAATTCTGGTGGTTCTCTCACCACCACTGATCGCTGGACACCTCCTGACACCCACAGCAATTCTCCAAACACAGTCCGCAAAGAGGAAGGTAGCGCACTGGACAAAAGTGGTGATGTTGAAAGACAAGAAGAACGAGACACTAAAATGTCCCAAGACTACAGGAGAGGTAGACAGGAGTGTATGCTCATATCATCACTCCTATCTGTCGCTGAGGGTGTAACCGAGTGTTTTCTTAAAAAAAAAAAAAAAAAAAAAAAAAAAAAAAAAAAAAAAAAAAAAAAAAAAAAAAAAAAAAAAAAAAAAAAAAAAAAAAGCTGACCGCAGTGCCGGGATCATACCGGAAAGGTTGCCCTTGTTGTGAGGGATGCTGGACCCGGTTTTCAGGCTGTGTAATATACAAAGTCCTCTCCTTTGAAAAAGAAAAAAGAGTCCCAAAACAAACGGGACATTTTCAACTGCCAATATGTTTCGCAGCCATTTTTCTTGGTCGCACGTTGCAGCTGCCACAGCTTTCCGGGCTTGGCAGCTGGAGCAAATGGCTGGCGGCACCTGTGCAGGTTCATTCTGTTTTGGCTTGACGCCGACATTGCGAACACTTTGATAGAATCAACACTTCGTGCCTCTTGGAAAAGCTAGACACGTATCCTGTGATGAAGAATCAGATTAGGGCCTGGCTGAAAGGAGACGGTGTGATTGGATTTGCCAACCGCCCTGTAACTATATATAACTATGGCAAGCTTGCAGTTATATTGCCTTTACTGGCCAACAGTGCTTTGCATGGAATGGAGAACGCAGGGCGTTAGAAGCCCCGGGCAATAGTGGCTAGGAAGTACTGGTGGCTTAAACCACCAGTACTTGGCCCAGCTATTGGCCGCGGCCCTTTCCCATTAACGCACCGCGGCATTCGGGCTTCGGCCTACCGGACCGCATTGGCTGGAGGCCACAGCCAAAATGAAAACAGAAAAGACCAACGGCGGTTCGGTAGGACTTGGCGTGCAGGGGGCTGGGAGGCTCGGCTTCGATAGCTGGGCCAAGTACTGGTGGTTTAATGGACCAAACCAACAAAGGACGTGATGGACAGGTCCGACTGTTGTTGAGGTGGAATTCAAGGGCTGTGGTATGAGGCCGCTCTGTGCCCTGGCAACCATCAGAGTGAAGACACTGCTGAACTTTACAAAACTGTGAAGGCCATCCTAGGATGAGCAGACACCGGACCCGTTTTCCAGCAGGTGCAGCTCCCCACCAACAGATGGCGTGACCTCAAGGGAGGGATGCTCATACCACTCTTCCTAGTAGAATCAGGAGAGTGACTGTCTTAAACAGCCAGCACCTTTATCATACATCGGCCGTGGGCCCTGTGTGCCAAGTGCGGCCGATGTGTCCGGCCGGCGTTGGGGCCGAAAGCATTCTCCGCGTTAACTGCCACGCCTTTGTTTTCCAAGCACGGAAAGGTCTGTTCGGGGCTTGGCTGGTTTGCCAAGCAGGCCTTTTTGGCCTTGTACTCTAGATTTTTGTAGGCTGTCTATGGGGGTGGACCGGATGACTTGAGTACTCAGGATTTTGCGACCCTTTAGAGGGCAGCACTATTTTTCCAATTTAGGGCGGGCACGCGCCTGCTGCAGTCCTCCTTTACTTCAATAGTCCTCTGAGAAGTCGTTACTGCATCTGCTGTTTCGGAGGGCGTCCCCTGCCTGGAGGCTGGGGCACAGGCATCAGCTTGTGCTCAACAATGTAATCAATGCCGATGTGTCCGTCCATGGTTGGGGGCAGCATTGATCGCCTGGAGGGAAACCGATTGGTTTCAGCAAAAGGAGCAAGATTGGATGCGTGAAAAACAGGGTGTGTACGGAGGTGACCAAGGATGAGAATAGCATATGATAGACCATCTGGCTGATCTCCTACGATATCCAAAACTTCCCAGGGTCCAAGATACTGTGGGGTCAGTTTATGAGAGATTCCCAGCTCCTGTCCCAATTCAGATGACTTAACCCAGACTCGCTCACCTACCTGACATGCAGAGGGTCGTCTTCGTTTGTTCTCAGATGCTACCATGGCATCCTGAGATTTCTTGATCTGCTCAATGGCCTGCTGCAGCATCTGTTCGTTCTTGATGGCAAACTCTATGCTGCCAGGTGCTGTAGGTGGCTGAGTTTCAGGCAATAGGAAGTCAAGAGCAGATCTGGGCTTCCAACCAAGATGCAGCTGGTTGGGAGTCTTACCAGTAGTGCTGTGCACAGCGTTGTTGTACAGACTGGGGATGAGAGGTAACTTCTCATCCCAGTCATCTTGACTAAGTTGGCTTAATATAATGCCGAAGCAAGTGCTGTACTACCTGGTTCATATGCTCGACCTGACCATTTGACTCAGGGTGGTTCCCTGATGTCATTTGCAGTTGGGTGCCCATCTGTTGGGTTGTACTTTCTTTTTTTTTTTAACATCCGCTGGGACTGTTACCTGAGATGATATGAGCATCATCAGGTACCATACCCCTGCGATGGCTCCTTTCTATTGGTGGGGAGCTGCACCTGCTGGAAAATGGGTCCAGCGTCCCCAAAAGTACATCGCAATGAGAGTATGATCAAAATGATAGGAGAGCCTCTTCAGTCCCAGAGGGTCCGCCAGATGCCACTTGTCACTTAAGCTCCCTACCCATCCAAAATATATTAGATCTTAGCATCATCTTTTTTTTTTTTTTTTTTTTTTTACATATATATACACACACGTATATATTGTCAAACAGAGTAGGCAGAGAGGGAGAAGGGGACAACAAACGAGGGGCTGTGACAAACTGATTCGTCGGAGTTTATATGTATACTTGTTTTTTCGATTTTTTTCCCCATAGACTACATTGTGGCGAAGCAGCTATCTCAGAGGCAATACATTCACACCTGGTGCTGAAGCAGCCAGCTGTTCATCCCAACTGTCATGGCCAGTCCTCTGCTAAGGTACTGCGTTTGAGATCTCTATGTGTGACATCCATATCAGGTTGCGAAAGTCTACAGTCTCGTGACCCAGTCGCCACACTGTGATGTTGTGTTGTGCCACCTGGAAGTCTGTGAGACAACAGTGATCTAGGACTTCTGGAATTCCAGAAATATCCACTCAACAAAAACTTAGTTAACTGAGCAACAAAGGACTTATCAATCTCTGAATTTCTGAATTTCTCAGTAGCATCATCTTACCCCTCCCTTAAGCCATACCATTGCAAATCAACCAGGGAGAGCTCCGAAGGAGGAAAGAAATCTGGGACACAATCCGGATGTCTGAGGGAATCTCCCGGGCTGAAGCGTAAACCAGTTACGAAAAACAAGTTGGAAGTCCCGTTGAAGATGACCCGCTGTTTTTTCCGCCCCTGGCCGGCGCACCTCACTCAATCCCCTCCCTGCATTTCCCCCAAGCCAGTCCAAATTAAATTTCTGAATATGTTGTAGAATATCGTTTTTTTGGTGAAAGAACATTAATTTGGTTTTAAGGGTCGACCAGTGAGCTCTGATTTCTGTTTGTATGAAATGCACAATAAGTTCAACAACCTCTAGACCTTCCAAACGGACTCCTTCTCTTGCTCTGACACAACGTCTGTACCATATGGTCCATAAGACCGCTTTGTGACCAATTTCGAAAAGATTACTCTGAAAATTTGAAAGAGAGAAATTGAGAGGATTCTAGCGGCACAGAATAGGGGCGCAGCGCTACCGGGATCGCTGCGCCCTGGGGCCTTACGAGTAGGCAAGGATTGGCGGAGGGCAGCGATGGCACGCCTCTGAGGCGAGGCTGGAGGGGGGCTGCCATGTGGGGAAAGGTGCGAGACCATGGCTTGGTGTGACAGTGTATGATGGGAAGGACGCTGGATGCCACGTGGCAAGGGGGGGTTGTGGACAGTAGAGAGAGTGGGTGTATTAAAGATGAGTGTCCGGGGTTTTCTTCTCCTACCTCTGCCTCTAGTTCTCTGTCTCCTGCTTTGTCTGATCCAACTGTTTGAGGATTATTGTGCATGGATCGAATTCTCTGTGAGGCTGCGGTGACGGGCTTGATGCTGTCACTCACAACACAATCGCCTTTAAGGTCTAAGGAGGCGGCAGTGTCCTATGTATCTCTTCTGTCCAGTGTACCTTGCCAAGGGGCTGTACTGGCACTGGCTATGGGCAGGAGGTGTTCCCTTCGCAGGAAGAGGCGGGGGATGAGTTTGGTCGGATTAGCGGTCTGGCAGTTGGATTAGGAGATGGCGGGAGTGGAGCATCTCGCGTTGACCTGGAGGGGTGGAGATTTCATATTGTTCAAGACAACCTCACGACGTGATGGGAGCTCGGCACGCAGCAGCTTCTCGAGGCCGTCATCCTGAGTATCGCTCAAATTCCCATAGTATCTTAGGGTTTCGAGTTCAATAGCGTTATCTTATTTGGTTGATTTTACGATAGTCTGCTTGTTTTTTTGCCTAATTGCTTTTTCCTTGTCGTTAATTTCAAACGTGATGACCTAATATTCATGCTACCTTGTAGTCTTTGATGATCACATAATTTCTGTAATAATTTGATTTGATTGATTAGTATTCCTGTCTACTGTTGATCTGTTTTGGTTAACAAGTTCTTGATTCGCTGTCTGAGTGAGGTTTCCCTTTTTTGGATTTTCAAATTTTATCTAATCTCATCTTCAACCCCATCTTTTGAAATTCGTCAGCTGATGTCCTCAACTATGATCAGGATTATTCTTGATTTTAGACATTCCTGAATTCAATATTGGACATCTTAGTTGAATTTCTTGAATTTTTGTTCTTAAATGTCCCTTTCGAATAGGTTGTTGCAGACAGATTTTCTAATTGTGGTTCTAATTTCTATT